CTGGCCGGTTTCCTCCTGCTCTTTGTCTTGAACCTGCGGCTGCAAATGTTCTGCCAGGACTGCAGGGTCTTGGACGTCCAGATCCACATGCCGCTGGTGATCCCCACCACCAGCAGCATGAAAATCTTCACCATGAAGATCTCCACGGCGGGGATGGAGGCGGCCATCAGACAGTCCAGACTCTTGGTCTGGTTGTTCGTTTTGCACGTGTGCTGGGTGGCCAGGACCTTCCAGTACTCCATGTTGAGGCGCTCGTAGAAGTAACAGGCGATCACACAGGTGGCCGGCACCGTGTAGAGCACTGAGAAGACCCCGATTCTCACCATGAGCTTCTCCAGTTTGTCCGTGTTCTCCCCGCCGGTCTTCATCACCCTCCTGATGTGGAAGAGCGCCACGAAGCCGGACAGAATGAAGGAAGTGCCCACCACGAGGTAGCAGGCCAGCGGGATGAGCACGAAGCCGGTGAGGGCGTTCACGTCCATGCTGCCCACGTAGCACACGCCCGTGAGCTCGTCCCCCGCCACCCGGCGCATCACCAGGATCAGGATGGTCTTCACGGCCGGGATGGCCCAGGCCGCCAGGTGGAAGTAGCTGCTGTTGGCTTCGATGGCCTCGTGGCCCCACTTCTTGCCCGCCGCCAGGAACCAGGTGAGCGTGAGAATCACCCACCACAGCGAGCTGGCCATCCCAAAGTAGTAGAGGACCAGGAAGACGAGGGTGCAGCCGGTGCTCTCCAGCCCCTCCTGGATGACGTAGAGCTGTCCGCTGTCGCGGTCGCAGGCGATGCTCTCGGCGCCGGCAAAGAGGCGGATGAGGTAGCCCACGGAGTAGACGCAGTAGCACATGGAGAGGAAGATGATGGGGCGCTCGGGGTACCGGAAGCGCGCCGGGTCGACGAGGAAGGTGAGCACGGTGAAGGCGCTGGAGAAGAAGCACAGCACGGCCCACACGGCCAGCCAGACCACGGCGAAGCGCTTGTCGCCGCGGCTCCAGTACACGTCCACGCCGGGCGCGCACAGCGGCGCGCACGCGGCGCTCTTCTCCACGTGGTGGAACTTGCCCGGGTTGTCACAGCTGGCGCGCCCCGGGCCCGCGTCCCGGAGCGGGTGCTCCTGCGCGCCGTGCGGCCGCTGCGGCCGGAAGAGCGGCGGGAACAGGCCGGAGCCCCGGGAGGGCTCGTCCGAGCCGTTGTTGGGCGCCTCCATGCACAGGTAGTTGGGGTCGTTCTTGTTGGGGAGCCTGCTGCAGTCCAGCGAGTCGGGCCACTTGAAGTTGAACTGCTCCATGATCGGGGAGCACTTGAGCCGGGCCTGCTCGCACATGACCCGGCAGGCGGGGATGGGGGTGGAGACTTGCTCGGTGCACATGGGCGCGTACAGCGAGCACAGGAAGAAGCGGAGGTGGCCGTGGCAACCGTACTCCACCAGCGGCGCGAACTCGTGCAGCTGGATGGCGGCCTCGCGCTGGTTCTCGTGGCCCATCAGGTTGGGCATGCGGGTCATGTTGTAGCCGATGTCCTTGCACATCGGGATCTCGATGGCCTGGCACTTGCCGTCGCCCGGGCGCTCCGTGTCCATGGAGCTGATGGCGGCGCACGAACCCATCACCTGCAGGACCAGCCACAGGCGGGGGCCCGGCCGCGGCATGCTGGCGTCGGAGGTGCCCCGGCGGGGAGGTCGCCTCCCCTCAGCGCCGCCGCTGCCCGGCTCGGGCCGCGGGCCCCGGCTCCCCGTCCCCGCTCGGGTCCCCGCCCATGCCCGCTCGGCCGGCCCGAGCGCTGCGCTCCGCGCCCCCGGCCTCGGCCGAGGTGGGGGGGCCGCGGAGGGAGGGGAGGGGAGGGGTGGGGAGGGGACGGGGACGGGGAGGGGGCGGGGGGGGGGAGAGACGGGCAAAGTTGGCCAACAGTACCGGGAAGCGCGACGGGCCCCGGGCTCCCGGCGGGCGGCGGCTCCCGGCCGCGGCAAACTTTGGGCTCTTCCGCGAGCGCGTCCGGGAGGCCGGCGGCGCGGGGCGCACGGTGGCCGGCCGGCTGGCGGCGCCTCCTC